TCAAATATGAAGGGGTGTGTCTCATTTGCCTAGTGTAGTACTACAATTCGGCATTGGTTTGAAATCCCTGTGTCACATGACTTGGAAGCTATTGAAAAAAAAACAGCACTTTTTTCAATAAATTATGAATAAATATTCATATAAAATAAAAAATGCACTCAAATCAAATATGAAGGGATGTGTCTCATTTGCCTAGTGTAGTACTACAATTCGGCATTGGTTTGAAATCCCTGTGTCACATGACTTGGAAGCTATTGAAAAAAAACAGCACTTTTTTCAATAAATTATGAATAATATTCATATAAAATAAAAATGCACTCAAATCAAATATGAAGGGTGTGTCTCATTTGCCTAGTATAGTACTACAATTCGGCATTGGTTTGAAGTCCCTGTGTCACATGACTTGGACGCTATTGAAAAAAAAGGCATTATTTTACATAAATTATGAATAAATATTCATATAAAATAAAAAATACACTCAAATCAAATATGAAGGGGTGTGTCTCATTTGCTTAGTCTAGTACTACAATTCGGCATTGGTTTGAAGTCCCTGTGTCACATGACTTGGACGCTATTGAAAAAAAAAGGCATTATTTTACATAAATTATGAATAAATATTCATATAAATTCGAATATGTACTCAAATCAAATATGAAGGGGTGTGTCTCATTTGCCTAGTCTAGTACTACAATTCGGCATTGGTTTGAAGTCCCTGTGTCACATGACTTGGACGCTATTGAAAAAAAAGGCATTATTTTACATAAATTATGAATAAATATTCATATAAATTCGAATATGTACTCAAATCAAATATGAAGGGGTGTGTCTCATTTGCCTAGTGTAGTACTACAATTCGGAATTGGTTTGAAGTCCCTGTGTCACATGACTTGGAAGCCATTGAAAAAAACAGCACTTTTTTCAATAAATTATGAATAAATATTCATATAAATTTAATATGCACTCAAATCAAATATGAAGGGGTGTGTCTCATTTGCCTAGTATAGTACTACAATTCGGCATTGGTTTGAAGTCCCTGTGTCACATGACTTGGAAGCTATTGAAATAAATAATGATTTTCCCATAACACTGTTCTCACAATTGTAATTTATTGATGGTCCCTAAGCTAACCCCCGTTGGTTAAAAACGAGCCATCAGAGGTGAGCTAACCGCACTTATACAACCGTCACTGGGTGAACTGACTAAAAAGCCGTCACGATCCTGGGTGAATGTCTGTCGAATATCCAACTTAAAACTAACTTCACCGCGGTCTCAAACCGTCAGTAATTGACGCACTGAGATGAGAATGTGTTGCGAGTTAAGATGGTGCTGCAGGTAGTAGGCTAATGCCATAACAATAACAATATAGTGGCAACGACATATGTACATTCCTAATTAATTCATTCTGGTCAAAGCTGGAACAGTTCAACCAATCCATGTCAAGTAGGTATAGGGAGACGCAGCCCACATGGATGATGACGCAAGTCTTGTCATGTAAAGTCCTTTAATGCGCTGCATAGGTAACTGCATTGCGAAACCAAAACAAAACTAACCGAATGTATCAAAATGTGTCAAAACATGAACTTTGGTGCATACTTTCAGGTGTGAAAGCCCCCTAAGAGTTGAAACTGGTGCTGTTGACAGGATGGAGTTGATATGATTGGTTCTGCTGACTGACCACTAGAGGGTAGTATTGACACAGGTTACAACTGTTTTTGCACCCTGCAGGTTTTCTTTTTAAGCTATTTCGCAAAAGTGATTATTTTATGTCTCAGTGAAGCAAACCGGCAGTCAGCACACTTAAGAGTCCAAAACGTAGTACTGTAAACAACAGTTAAACACATCCAGCCAAACACTACAGCAGCTGATTTCACTGATGATGGGTAGACTTAACAATCTCTAAAGAAAGGAAACCAATGAACTCTGCTGTAAACATCTTTGTTTTTAGTTGGTAAGAAAAATAATTTCACAGCTTGCATTTCTTATATAGGTATGCCCAGTATCTTGTAAGAAACATGTATTAAATTTCTCATTTCTCATTTATTTATTTAAGGACAGTGCACATTAATCAACATTTCTGTAAATGTGCCAGTGTTAGCCAGCAGGCTAATTTTCAACTGTAGTCCATTGGCAAGATGTTATACTAGGCACATAATCAGCACATTGAACTAATGTTTCAGTGCCTGGGACCATGGAAGTTGGGCTTTTAGTTTTTTCAGATACATTGTCATTAACTAAAGACTTGCTCAAGGGAAAATTTTCATGGCAGTATGGCTTGTAGTTGTGGAGATTTCTTCCTTCCTGCTGTGGCCCCTGTAGCCATCCTCAGCTGACAACATACCGTGTGTCTCCTATCTGTGTGTGTCCGCAAATGTTGCCGCACCAGATGAATTAAAACAACCACAAACTCTCTCAAAAGGTCAAATGCTCGCAGTTCCCAAAGCGGAACTAAATGAATGAAGGAAATCCAATCATGCCTATTCCTCCAGCCACACTCACACACTTCCCTTCTCTTTAATGTCCAAACAAAATCAAGTGCAGTCTGATCACAGATCTAAAGATCTAAACAGCTGCAGTCTCGACCTCCAGACACAGTAACCCAGCTCACTGTGCACATTTGAAATGCGGCATCGCCATGTGGTGTTGATTTGGTGGAGGAAGGGAAGAAAACAGGCAGTTTACAGTGAATGATTGTGAGAACATTTGTGTTCAACAATGTTTTTTATTGCATCAGAGACCCTGTGGACCTGCAGTGCAAGGAACTGGCCAAACTTCACAACCACAGCCAGAACGGACTCAGAGGGACTCATAACCGCAACCTGAACCTCTAAAATTTAAACATCTTAATAATATAATTGTCTTATACCTAATAATGCATGGCTGTTTGGTACTATCAATCTCTATTAATCAGAAATTAATATCTGATTTGCTTCACAGGCCCAGTGCAGACTGTAACACAAACATGTAATAATTCGTGGTTAGCAGGTGTATCTGTACAGTCAGGCCAAATCTTCTCTTGATCCCATTTACCGTGCACTCAAGCATGAGAGCATAATTCCTGACCTTGGCCCTGGTCTGTCGCCCCCCTGGAGCTGTTGTTCCTGGCCTACAGTGAGACCTTCGTCCAGTTTTAAGACGTAGTCAAAGCGATAAATTAGTCTGATCAAGATGCTGCTGCAACATGGGAGCAATTATTCTGCAGCGCAATCTCCAACCTACATCCTGTCTGAGTGGTGCCCTGATTAAGGAGGATTGTGTGTCTGCGTAATAAAATTCAGGACTTCATTAAAAATATCTCGGGACTTTAGGCAGAGGAGAGAGAGAGTGTATGTGTTTCTAAAGTGAGTAACACAGAAGTTAAGCGGCTTATGTTCCACTTTTTTTAGTGCTCATGAATCATTTTACAAGGACACAGACAAAAAAGAACAGATGAGGATTAATATGACAATAACAGGAGGGTTTGGCCAGCTCTATGCTGGAAGTACTGTAAATTAATGGGTAACAGAGTTTGGATATTTCAAAATCCAGGACTGATGTTTTTTGATTCCTGACTCAGATCATGACTTCAGCTGTTGGATCATCCCTGTTTTAGCCGAGTGCTGGGGTGTTTATTAATGTTGTTACAGTAACTATGGTCGTTGTAAATTTAAAAACATCTTAATCACTGGGAACGTCTCACACACTGAGCTGGCACAGTAGTACAGGTGATACCATTCAACAAACTGCAGTGAACCACTGGCTGGAACCACACACATAATCTCTCTCTGTCTTTGTTCATTTACTTTCCTTTCGGAAAGAAAACGACAGTCAAAAACAAAATTTCAGCCCATCCTGTTTTTCTGTCTGCTCACCAAGACAAACCTCCCATACTGCGGCTGCCAACATTAACACAGAAAGCGTACTGATCTGGGTCCCAGAGCCAGAGAGTGCTGCGCTGTTACATGTCACCAAAAATGATGAGATAAAACATAGACAGACAGAAAAAGAAAATAGTTTATTCAGTTTTGAATCTTTTGTTTTAAAAACCCCAAATGATCTGAAATGTACTTGAAAATTAAATAAAGAACAAAAGACTCCCACACAGCTTGCAGTCGGGGATATATAACAACAATGTTTGTTTGTGACTCAAGGTCTTCTCCTACGCACTTGTCGATTTACAGGTGTGCAAAAGTTCTGCTCTTGCTTGAAAATTAAATTTTACAAAATTTAGTGACATTAGCTAACTATCAGTGACATTAGCAGAAAAAATTTACTCTCATCACACTATCCCTCTGAATAAGCCAAATACAAGGTGGTGTTGTCCTGGTGGGATAACGCATTACTGAAACTACATTTTAAGGTATTGTGAACTGTGTTTTACATGCTGCATGTTTAACCAGCTGTTCCTTCAATACATTTCATGCTGTTACTTGTGCTGTAAAAAGGTAGATCTGTGTTTTCAATTGAATTCAATCAACCAATAATAATGAACAGCTTGAACGTTCATTACTGATCTTGTAAATAATTGACCTATGAACAACCTCCATGGGAACAGGGCAAACTCCACCTGCTGATTTAGGCCTCAAGATGTGGCTGAAAGCTCTGGAAACTTTCCAGTAAGTGGACCTTGTGCAGAATTATTTGTCAAAATAATGAATACTGACCAAAATATAAATGATAGGACACACGATGGCCACAAAAGGTGCCATGGATATTTTCATGAAATTCCTGACAACATAAAAATATAGGTATTTGAACATTAAATTGTTTTGTTCCGTTTTAAAATGAGAATCCACATTGTTCTTGAGCATTTGTTTTGAAATGGTCAGTTCTTATTATTTAAAGATATGTTTTGGGAGAGAAAACTAAGAATTTGCCAGAACAGCCTTTTCCTCTGCACCTTTAGAAATAAACGAAGCTAGAAAGTGTTGGTGACGTCACTGTGATTGACGTTGAGTTAAAGCGAATCCGGCGCCTGTCCGAGTTTTGTACGAGCCAATGAGCGTCTGGAATACATTGTTTCCGGAAGTAGTGAAGCTGTTATCCACGCTGCAAGCTTGGGCCACACGTTTAGTTAGAAATGTTACTTTGACCGTCACTAAAATTGACAGAGCGCATTGGACCCATAGCGACGTGGACCCATTTCATACAAGGAACAGTTACAAAATGAGTGCTAACCGACATTATTCACGACAGTATTCACGTGTGGCCCGCGCGGGTCACCCCTCCTTACCGACACCGTCTTTCTAAACGTCAGTCTTTATTGTTTTCAGCCATTTCTTACGGGTAACGGCTGTTCCCTTTCCCACATAAGCAGCGGACCCTCCGAGCAGAGGGACGGGGGCCCAGAGGCTGACATGAACCCCCCGAAGCGGCTCCGCACCACGATAGACTGTACCGCAGAAGACGAAGCGGAAACGGTGACAGGAGAGCGGGAGGAGGGGAGGAGGAGTGTTGTGGACGTGGTGGGTGATAGACACTCTGCTAAACACAGATTCCACTGGTGTAAAGGAGAATATACAGAGATGTTTATGCATGAGGACAGTTGAATCAGGCTGCTGCACGTTAGATCTACAACACTGGCATACTGTTCTTGAACTAATCAATTAAATTAACTTGATGAATGTTTCCGTGCACCATAATGTGTGTCACTGCAACTGTTTTGCTCTGTCAGATTAGCTCCCTGAACTGATTATTTGTATTATTGATATGGGAGTCATAGCTGCCTTTTCATGCATTATTTAATTGCACTGACTTTATAATCTGTGTGTGTCTTCAGAGTATTGTCATGCCAGTGTACAATGCATCCTGTTGGCTGGATGAATGTCTGCAGGCCATATTACACCAAGACTTCACAGGAACCATGGAGCTCTCCGTCTTTGACGACGCAAGCACTGGAAGTTTCTTTGCGAATTGCATATTCACATGCGTAAATATGCAATTTGTCTAAACTTCGAATTGTGTGTGTGTCCTTTAGGATGACTCTAGGAAAGTGGTGGAGGGTTGGAGGGAGAGGCTGGAGGGCAGGGGCGTCTCATTAGTGATCTCCGGTCACGTCTCTGCCCATCCCAGAGGAGGTCAGTAGACTTTTAGGTTGCTGATCAGCAATTCATTTCCTGTCCTGATTAGATTATCGTAATTAAACTATGACTTCAACAGCTTATTTTATATGTGACGCCAGAGAGACTGAATGAAAGAATAGACAACCAAAAAGAAATTCAATCAATTATCAATTTTAGGGATAACATGTAAAATCTGTAAAATGCTGCCTATAATTTGAGATGAAAGCTCATTCTACACAAAATAACTGTGTCCACTTACTAGTTTTTTCCTGGAGGTTTTAACCATATCTCAAGTTCTTCACTCAACTCCTAGGACTCACACTGCTAATAAGTGAACCTTGAGTTAAGATTATATTTTAAGAAATGCTCATAATTTAGCAAGCGGCTGAGGAAAGTGAGTAATGCTTGTTTTGGTACTCTGTAAATTAAGACCCCCCCCAGGCCACACACACACCCACAGTTGTGGACAACCATCAGTTGGACACCAGAGAGTTAATAGTATTAGTCACTGGATCAGCAAGATTGTAAAAATGTCCTTCTGATTAACCAGGGAAGAATAATAAGACAAAGCAGCATGATGATGACTGTGATGGACTGGCGTGCCCGTTACTGTTGTGTCATTTGGTTTAACATTTTGAAAATAACATTACACAGAAATTTTTAGTTATTTTCAGTGTTATTGCAGGTTTAATGGTTGAATATGATGCAAGGGCGCACACACACACACACACACACACACACAATGTTCTTTTGTCTTTCAGTGGGATATGCAAAGAATAAGGCAACATCTCAGAGTTGTGGACAATACCTGTGCTTTCAGGATGCGGTGAGTATGTGTGTGACAGAGCGTGTTTCATCTCATTGTGCAGTTGTGAGTCATTACTAATCACATCTCATCGGTTTGTCCAATTATACACGCTGTACACAGACACATTGACACGTAGACCTCAGCAGCCCAGCGACTGTTTGACAGACCTGTCTGAGCACGAGTAATGAGCTGAGAGCAGCGCTTGATAGGAGTGTTTTCTGTGTGTATGTTCAGATGAGTGGCAGCTGTGTGTTTGAAACAGTGCTTTGTAGGATAGATCCTTGTCTGAGGGCCGAATTGTCAAAATTACAAGTAAAGGCTACAACATCTGTGCTTGTGATGTCTGTTCAGATTTGTTTTTGAACTGCTTGAGTTGTACGTTATAACAAAGTCTACTAATAGTTGCTAGAATAAATGGCTCAAAGGCAATACAACAATATTTGTTCTCTTGCATTTTGTTTCTCTGTTCTACTGCTCGACATTATTCACACATTGCTCTTCTGTGTACATCAGCATTCTTTCATGTCTCTGTGTCTATATTTTCATATCAAATCTTTTCATATTTTTTATATATTTTATATATATCTTTATATTTTACATGTTATTGTACTTGTTTTCTCACCTACCTCATTTGTTTTTGTGCTTTATGTGTATTGTTTTGTAACACTGCAGGTACCCCTTTTGGATTAAGGAAGTACGCTTTTTATCTAGCTAGCTGTCTATAGATAGATAGGGACATACAGTGGGGAGAACAAGTATTTGATACACTGCTGATTTTGCAGGTTTTCCTACTTACAAAGCATGTAAAGGTCTGTAATTTTTATAAATTTTTATCGTCTCTTCGACTGAGAGACGGAATCTAAAACAAAAATCTAGAAAATCATATTGTATGATTTTTAAATAATTCATTTGCATTTCATTGCAAATAAAACCAATTAAAAACAAGAGAAGGTATTCAGACAGACAGTGCACATGCAATAAAAAAAATAATAATAAACCTAAAGTGAACGGATATGATTTGAATTGTTTCTTAAAGGAAGCTAGTGTGTATTTGTTGTTACATGATGTGAAAAACTAAAGTGTCGATGTGTTTGAATTGATTTATTTTTGTACCCCAGGATGACGTTATGTTGCCTCAAAGAGTTCGATTGCAGTATGAGTCGTCTGTCCTCCACCCAAACTCTGTAAGTTCTCCCTCAAGTATTTGCTTACTCACTTCCTTCCCTCTCTGCTGCACTCTGCCTTCGCCCCTCCTCACCTTCTTTTCTCCTCCCTTCTCTCCCTCCCCTTCCCTTTCTTTCTCTCTCCCTGATCATCTGACCAATCCCTCCCTTTAAATCAAAAATACTGTGTGTGTGTGTGTGTGTGTGTGTGTGTGTGTGTGTGTGTGTGTGTGTGTGTGTGTGTGTGTTTCCATGCAGCTTGGCATGCAGAACAGTGTGCGTATCCGGTGTTGATGCTTTCTGTGGCCTGCCAGGTCAGAGGTTAAAGGTTGTGTCTGTGAGGGAAGTTAGAGAGACAGCATGGAGACAGCAGGCTTGCTGCCCTGAACAAACAACCTGCCTATTTCTGTTATATATTTTATGGTTCTAGATAAGATGTGGTCCTTTGTTTTGTTTTCAGTTCTGTATAACTTTTTTACCTTCTTTCTTCTGAGATGTGGCCTGTACATGTTTAAAAAGGGTACAACTGATATGTTTCAGATACACTTTGGGCCAGTATTTTGTCATATAGAAAATTTCTATACATTACTAGGACTTTTAACAAACTTTTATTTTTTTGATAAGTCAATGCTTTTTTGGCTTTTAAAGGTCAGAAGTATTCCCACCATAAGTTACCTGAGCAAAAGAGGAAAAGATTTCTTAAAAATATAAGCCCAACCTATGAATGGGCGTGCTGATACTATCGGCCTTTATGAGCATTGATATCGATGTTTATAACAGCCAATAAATGACAATTATAAAAGAAACAGAGAGACAGAAGAGAGAGTGTTGTCGCTGCATAGTTTTTCCACCAGTAGGCCCTCTACATGTGTTGGCAACACGTATTTGGAATACCACATATCCACCACAAAACACAGCAATCAGCTTTACTTTTGTTCAAAGAACTCTTTATAACAATAAAAAAGTAAGTTTTAAACTGCATTATCTGAAGGTTTACCACTGAAACCAGAATTGATGTTTGCAGCCTAACACTAACCCAAGAACACAAAACATACTAGTTACTTGTATGGCAGCATTTCTCCCAAAAAAACTTTTTAAAGTATTTTTTAGATTAGTTTATAAAGCTTTATTAATCCCCAAAGGGGAAACTCATTTGCCACCATATCACATCAAACAGCATACAACATAAAAAATAAAAAAAAAAGACAACCAGTATGTGGACACAGAACAAGAAAACCTTACAAATAAAATAAGAAATATTCATTAAATCTAATTGCTGTTGGGATAAAAGACCAAAAAAGAGCAGTTTGGTAGAACACTGGGGCGTCTTCAGTCAGCTACTAAAGGAAAAGACACTGGAGTGGATGGACTACAAGATTCATGACATTCTTTAGTTTGAGATTTGTTCTCTTTTCTATGATAACCTCCAGTGGGTCAGGGGCAAGGCCGGCCACGGAGTCAGCTTTTTTAGTCAACTTATTGATCCTGTTTTTATCATTTGCTGTAATGCTGCCTCCCTAGAAAAGCACTGCATGAAAAAGGACACTGGCTTTTACACCTTGATTAAAAAGTATAAAGCAGGTTTCTACTTTCACCAAAGTCTTGTGATTTTCTCAGGAAAAATAGTCTTAACTGGGCCTTCTTGAAAACTGTCTCTGTCAAGTCAGACACCAAGATATTAATAGAACTGGACAATTTCAATTTGCTGATCTTAATGATCACAGGAAGAACCTCCTCCTTCTTTCTCCTAAAGCTGATAATCAGCCCACCCAAACCCAACATTTAGTTTTAAGAAGTTTGACTCACACCAGTTCACAAAGGAGGCAACATCTGTTTTATCGGCCTAGTCATCACCTCGATTAAGGAAATGAACAAGAGCGATGTCATGGGGAAAATTTCTGGATATGGCGAGATACCTGACCATGCCTGTAGTCAGCGGTGTAGAGAGTGAATTAATAAATGATTAACCTGTGCCCCGTGGTGCTCCTATTTTACTTAAAATAGACCCAGATACTTTTTTATCAATGGGGATGTTTCAAGATGTAATCTAATGGGCCAAAGGTTAGTAAGGACACAAAATTGGTACAAGGCAAGATGTTTTCCACATCACTGGATTTTTTAATGACAATAGGGACATTCTGCTGCTGTCGAACCTCGTCAACATTAATAGTGATAGATGAAAGAATGCTGTCATGAGCAGCAGAAAAATCAAGGTCTTCAAACCTAGCAAAGAACTGGCTTCCCTCATTAATCCCACAGCCGAGGGGGCTTCCATTACTGGTTACATAGCCAGTAATTTATGTCACACCATCCCAGAGGCCCTGAGGATTTCTATTAGACATCTGTCCCTCAACCTTATCCCTATATTTTCGCTTGCCCTGTCTTGTCTTGTTGTTTGTTGTTGTTTAAACACCTATATGGTGTGTGTGTCTGTGTGTTTTCATGATAGCTGATTGGCTGTAAAGTTCAGAGGGTTCCAGAAGGATCTACTGAGCGTTACACTCGCTGGATCAACACAATCACTCCGGATCAGCTCATCACACAGGTAAATACTAGCAGCTCTGCACAGCGTGTCTGTAAGCTGCACACACACTTTCTGTGAATGTGTGTGTTTGTGTGTATGTGAGAGGTCATGTGCCAGGCAGCGACCAGGTCAGACAGAAACAGGATATGTACCTGCTGTCCGCAGTTTCCACGGAAATGTGGCAGTGGAGTGACAGAGGACGCAGCATCACTCCCGACCTCTCTGTCCATCTCAGTCCCACCAGAGGAAACGTGTCACACGTGCCAGCTAGGGGAGCCGGGAAAGATCAGTTTACAGAAGTTCTGTGAGCTTACAGGCCGATAAAGTGCTCATTGTACTGAACTGCTGCCTGATGCCGCATATTAACATTAGGGCTGGGCAATAAAACAATAATGATAATTATCGCAATATAATTTTCCTCAATAACAATATAATAAATGTTCAAGATATCATCAATAAATATTTGCTTTAATTCATTTGAATCACAAACAAATTAGCATTTCATTTTTCTTTAATTAAAGTATTTATTTTGTTGAAAAAAAAGAGGCCTGAAAAAATATTAACTAATCATATTTGTTGAAAAAGATGATAGTTTTGAATGTTCTACCTCAGACTTGTGAAGTGATCCACTGTTTGGCTTCAAGTGTTTGTCACATTCTGACCATAAAGAAAAGTTTAACCACATAATTAACCATCTGGAGCAAAAATCTGCCTTTAAACTTGAAAGAAATGATGATGAAAAAATGATTTGACATATATCGTGATAATTATCGATATCGAATGATATGAAATGCTTTTATTCATCATTTTTGGCCATATCGCACAGCCCTAATTAACATTAAAGAGTGAAGTGACTGTAATTAAATCCATCACCAGAATTTAAAAGCTCGACGTCAGCTTCTGTGCTCCATCAGATTTGATTTCATAAGTTTTGACTTCATTGTGGCCCACAACAGAGACATGGCTGCTGTTCCTCCAGAGCAGGTGGAGCTGGAGCTTCTTGCTGTGGATTCAGATTGTAAAATGAACGAAGATGGCAAGTTGTGAATGGTCAGGATCCAAGTGTCATCTGCCATGCCTCTCAGCCAAGTCACGGTAGAAATGTATGACTCCATTATCGCCTAATTAGACCACCTTAAATAACAAACATAATGGTAATGTGAGCAAGTTGAAAACATTGTCCCTACATTGGCACAACTTGGTGCTGCAATGATATGCGATAATTATACTGCAGTGTGGCAATACTGACGTTGATGATGTTTGCACATTTTACACCCAGATATAAACTACTTGAAGGTGTTATTGAGTGAAAATATTACATTTTACTTTCACCATATTAAATAGTCACATTAATGGAAGTCAACTTTTGTTGCCTGAACAAAACACTCTGTCACCAAGGACACGAGACAACCTGGACCTCTAACACACACACACACAGTCTGCAAAACTCCTTAGCAGACATTCCAGGATATTTATGTGATATTAAGTTTCATGGAGCATGAGAATGAGATCATACATTGATTCTGCAGGCTTAAAATCAGCTCCTTTTCCTTCCCCGTTCTCCTTTCTTCCCCTTATCTGACTTACTTTCACTTTCTAGGTAAAGAAACAGAATCTAACTGAGTTAAACCAGAGATTTACGCAGGGTGGTGCTCGTTTAACTTGATCCAGAGGTGGACACCCTGAGTGTCCATCTGCAGGGCATTAGATATGGTTTTCCCAAACCTTCCCTACCCCACTGACTTCTCACACACAGACGCTCTACCTCTCTGTGTCCCCTGGTTTCCCAGAACCCATTCTTAGTCCTCTTATTCATGCTTTTGGCCACAGCTTACATCTGCAAAGTGTTGCAATATTACAACAGAAGGGAGAGGAGATGTACGTAGGTGGACACACACACACATACACACTAGATTCTGTCCAGCTGTTTCACTGGCTGAAACCAGATGTTCTTCACCACTTTCTTCATCTGCGATGCATTTTGGTTATGCAGTAGTATTCCTCTTCAGCCAACAACAGTCACACACACATATGCACAGCATGTGAAACACAGTAACGTAGTTGGACATAGAAACGATCAACCTGGAATGACCCTCAGATTCTGAACACTGCTGTACAAATTACTCACACACAGGAATGGAGCAACAAGAGGGGGTAGGGGTGTGGAGAGGGGGGTGGGCAGCAATGGAACAAATTAGTTGGGTGTAAAAAGAGAAAGAAATATAGAGGCCGTTATGTGGTCAGGGTGTCTTAAAGAGGTAAGAAAGAGAAGCAGAGGCCACAACAAACTCTTTAGTCAAAAATTACATGTGAGGGGATGGAAGAGTGTATCTTTCCCCTGCTCACTTCAGGAAGCCACACTTCTGTAACAGGGCACCTGCAGGGCACATGTGGCAGCACTCTAACCTCCTTTGTTTGCAGGATTAGAAGTGAGTCTTGCAGAGGCTTTCTTCATTTGACTGTTTTGTTCCTGAAAGCCAAGTTACAAAATTCCCCTGAGCCGTCTGCCAAACCCTGGTCAGGTTTTATAGCTGATATGCATGTCATGTTCTCTCACCACGACAAGTTCTTTTATTTTTAAAGTCCAGCTGAAATATAAATGCTGCTTCCTGCACATGTGTGTGAAAAAGAGAAGGAGAGCCTGATATAAACTGCAGGGGATGAATGTAATTACACATTCTGGTAGTTCTTGCACAGTTTGAATGTGAAAGCCTGAGTGCAGACTGGTCTGTATGTTTACTTTTAACATGAAGAGATATTTATATGAATATACTGAAACTTTTTTTTATACTCACAGCATCTAATACTATCCTTTCAGGTATTCTGGTCATGCTATGGTTTCTCACTCCTACAGCCTTATTTTTTAAATGTGTTGAAGACTAAGAGCATGAAAGCTATTGTGGAGGCATATGGTAGCCAAACACTTGACTAACACTTTATTTTGGCTTTTCCTTTCATTTGTATGTTTTGGTTCAGGTGTGATCTCATATCTCGTTGGTTCTTCCATCACCCAACGCACACACTATGTTTCAAATAGAAAGACAGACACATAAAATAAGAGTAGGAATCTCCATGTAGCATCTCAACAAGTTCACCACTGATCTTTTAGGGTTTGACAATGTTTAACAACATTTACGTGTTGCTTGCCGGTTTTTATTATGTAAACTGACATTGTGTGATTTTTGGATTGCAGTATGTCCAGATTATTCGTGTTATAGTCTGAATTGTTCTCGTGTCCCAGGTGTACACGTCTCACGGACCCACAGTCATCATGCCAACATGGTTCTGCTCAAGGAACTGGTTCCTGAAAGTCGGATCGTTTGACGAGGGAGGCAAGGTGATCCAAACTAATCTCAAAGCCTTCTCACTCTGTGTCTGTTTCTTTCTTCTTACTTTACCACTCCAAATGACACAGAGTCCAAGCATCTATCCATCTTTAGTTAGGCTCCATTTTCTGTTTTTTAACATCTAAAATATTACTTTGAACGTTTGAAAGCGTGGTGGTTTCAGACCTCTGATTTGTTCTGCTGTGGAGTCCACTGACAGCTGTTTCCCTCAGTTAGTCACAATTGACCAATCAGAGCTTAGTAATTGTGTATAAGAATTATCTTCCAACAATGATAGCTAGATTTATGGTTACATTCATGAAAAATGGCAACGGAAAAATGGCAACAAGCGTGGAAGAGAAAGTCGGTTTAAAGATAGCACAACTCTAAAAAGAGTGCTTCACTGATTTAGCGTGACGCTTACAGTGGACACTTTAAAAAAGGATCAAAATCCATGCAGCACACCCATAATTACGTTTTGTTCCATTCAACCTTCTTTCTTGTCAAAACTGCACGGTAGCTCCGCTTTAATCTTGAGAAGCGCCTCTGTTCATTCAATTTACAGTGTAAATTTCCAGCTAAACTGAGGCTTTTTAAAGACCCTTTTTTTCTCCTGTCATTCACCGGTCTTGTGTGACTTTTGCGTGCATGCCGTGCCGACAACTACATGCAGGTCACGGTTCCTTGCGGGTCTATTTTAAGTACATTTACATTGACATATACATTTATCCAAAGTGACTTACAATTGCTATATATGTCAGAGGTTGCACGCCTCTGGAGCAATGAGGGGTTAAGTGTCTTGCTCAGGGCCACAATGGTGGATGGGTCACAGTGGGGGATTGAACCAGAGTCTCTCACACCAACCACCACACGCATGTGTCTAATCCATTGCGCCATCACCACCCAAGTAGCCGGCTATTTAAAAACAACAAAATATTCTTTGTGTGGTTCATCAACGTTGATAAATAATCCGAAAGTCCCGTGAGTCCCATCTAAGCATCGAATCTTCAACTATTCGGGGTCAGCCCTATTTGTAACCCACAGAAAACAATCCACAAATGTGTACTATGATGCGCAAATATTTCACTATCTATAAATATGTATTTTTACATTTGTGATGTGTAAAATCATATCCACAAAAATACAGTGCAATTTGCAAATATGTACAATTTACTCTGTACTATTTACGCTATTATTTACGCATTTGTGGATCTATTTGTACACACAAAACAGTTTTTGACTTTTGTATATACACTGCTCAAAAAAAGAAAAAGGGAACACTTAAACAACACAATGTAACTCCAAGTCAATCACACTCCTGTGAAATCAAACTGTCCACTTAGGAAGCAACACTGATTGACAATCAATTTCACATGCTGTTGTGCAAATGGAATAGACAACAGGTGGAAATTATAGGCAATTAGCAAGACACCCCCAATAAAGGAGTGGTTCTGCAGGTGGTGACCACAGACCACTTCTCAGTTCCTATGCTTCCTGGCTGATGTTTTGGTCACTTTTGAATACTGGTGGTGCTTTCACTCTAGTGGTAGCACGAGACGGAGTCTACAACCCACACAAGTGGCTCAGGTAGGGCAGCTCATCCAGGATGGCACATCAATGCGAGCTGTGGCAAGAAAGTTTGCTGTGTCTGTCAGCGTAGTGTACAGAGCATGGAGGTGCTACCAGGAGACAGGCCAGTACATCAGGAGACGTGGAGGAGGCTGTAGGAGGGCAACAACCCAGCAGCAGGACCGCTACCTCCGCCTTTGTGCAAGGAGGAGCAGGAGGAGCACTGCCAGAGCCCTGCAAAATGACCTGCAGCAGGCCACAAATGTGCATGTGTCTGCTCAAACAGTCAGAAAACGGACTCCATGAGGGTGGTATGAGGGCCCGACGTCCACAGGTGGGGGTTGTGCTTACAGTCCAACACCGTGCAGGACGTTTGGCATTTGCCAGAGAACACCAAGATTGGCAAATTCGCCACTGGTGCCCTGTGCTCTTCACAGATGAAAGCAGGTTCACACTGAGCACATGTGACAGACGTGACAGAGTCTGGAGACGCCGTGGAGAACGTTCTGCTGCCTGCAACATCCTCCAGCATAACCGGTTTGGCGGTGGGTCAGTAATGGTGTGGGGTGGCATTTCTTTTGGGGGCCGCACAGCCCTCCATGTGCTCGCCAGAGGTAGCCTGACTGCCATTAGGTACCGAGATGAGATCCTCAGACCCCTTGTTAGACCATATGCTGGTGCGGTTGGCCCTGGGTTTCTCCTAATGCAAGACAATGCTAGACCTCATGTGGCTGGAGTGTGTCAGCAGTTCCTGCAAGAGGAAGGCATTGATGCTATGGACTGGCCCGCTCGTTCCCCAGACCTGAATGAGGACATCTGGGACATCATGTCTCACTCCATCCACCAACGCCACGTTGCACCACAGACTGTCCAGGAGTTGGCGGATGCTTTAGTCCAGGTCTGGGAGGAGATCCCTCAGGGGACCATCCGCCACCTCATCAGGAGCATACCCAGGCGTTGTAGGGAGGTCATACAGGCACGTGGAGGCCACACACACTACTGAGCCTCATTTTGACTTGTTTTAAGGACATTACATCAAAGTTGGATCGGCCTGTAGTGTGGTTTTCCACTTTGATTTTGAGTGTGACTCCAAATCCAGACCTCCATGGGTTGATAAATTTGATTTCCATTGATCATTTTTGTGTGATTTTGTTGTCAGCACATTCAACTATGTAAAGAAAGGAGTATTTAATGAGATTTTCATTCATTCAGATCTAGGATGTTATTTTAGTATTCCCTTTATTTTTTTGAGCAGTGTAGTTTACGATCGAATACTTTACCACTGTATGTTTTATATTTAAATAAACATGAGCCTGAAAATTGTGTTTGTAGTAATATCTTACACCTTCCTGTCAGAGCTGTGAAAGAAAGCTTTGTAAAAGCAGGGTTTTTCCTGCATAGAGAGAGGCTTTAGCGAGCACCAAAGGAAAATCCCCAGCGCCAAAATGATCAGAATTGGGGGCGTTTCAAATATTCTCCGAATGTGTTTTAATAGACATTTATCAAACAACTGTTGAGCAAGCAGAACATGAACTTAAACACGACGTCTTGACTTCCAGCAGTCACCTCTCCTCTCATCCACAGCGGGGTTTTTTTTTTTTACACATGCTGCAGGCGCTGGATTAATCAACCAGCCGCTGTGTTGGTTTGACTTCGCATGAACGCTCTTCTACGAAACTGAGCTCGCGTTACTGGGAGAGAGGACTTCCTGTTATTTCTCACAATATAAAAGCCATTTTACTCTTTACTCTATGCCCTCTCCAGATCAGGCTCCCTGGGCACTACGTGACGCTCACCTGTTCCCGTTCTCGCCTGCCTGCTAATCTGCACAGATCGGGAGCCTTTCATGCAGCCGTGTGCATCAAACTCGTCAAAGTCGCTTTTCGCGAACCAACCAATGACAGCCTGGAGTAGGCGGGACATTAGAAAAAGGTTGAGGCACTCTAGAAATGCTGAACTCGTTGTTCTTCATGCATGGTTTTTATTATTCACGAGTTAGTAGGCTACTTTGCATAAACAAATTAGAGACTGACCACCAAGTACAGCATTTGTCTTGCACAATTATTGAATGACTGAAAACAACCCTCAAAATTGAAACTACTGTTTTGTCCAACTGGAATTAATATAAGGCTACTAATAGTAAGCTAAGCCTATAGCCTACTATGATCTGAAATTATAATGAATACACAAACATTAGCACTGATCAAACCTTAACCACAGTGGTGTGGGCTAATATCAGAGAAAGGTTTCATTTGTGAAACAGCTGAATCTTAACTAATAAACTATTTGTAAGCAAATTATCCAAATCAAGTGTAACCTGTGAATATATTATTATACTATCATTATACTTTACTTTTATACCTTTACTCCCCTAGGTTGTGAATATATTTTGTTTATCAAATGGTCAGAAATTACAAGAAAATACATATATTTCAGTCATAAGGTGACTCATTGCTTTTACTGTACGCGTACCAGCCATGCTTACTGTCGTGCAAATTCACCCCCCAAAGGCCCATTCTGAGCCAGGAAAAACCCTGAAAAGTATATGAAAAACAGAGAAGTTCTGTATTCTATAAAGCCCAGTCAGGAGTACTGCATTTCAATTAAGTTATAACATCTTTTGACGTGAAATGATTAAAAAGATTACTTTTTATTTCTATTTCTTCTTCCCAGGTAAAATGCAATCAGTACAAACAGTGTTAATAAACCAAGTCCATATGGGCAAATAGATGAAACTTTGTGCAAGATATATACATACTGACAGGACAAAGCAATAGGTACATGTATATTTATTCAGTCATACGTTATAAAACTATTTATTCTTTTAATTTTAAATAGTACATATATTAAATTCACTATTTATTACTCTTAAGGACCCCTGGTGGTCCAGCAAATGGCTATTCATTTATTCGCTGCAATGGGGCTAGTCTGATGAAGTCAACATTGCCCCTCATGTTGTCTAAGAGGTCCCCCAGTAATGTCTTGGGTTGGTTGGGAACGGCACCCCAAGATAGATCTCCAGTATTGAGCCTTCATGTAAACCCTACTCATGAGCTTTACAAACAGTTTTTCATGCAAAAGCTCAACGAAAATGGACATTGACTGTACTTTTGAGAACCGTAACCTTATACATAGGGTTAACAATAGCTCCTGCAAACAGTAGGTACAACAGTACTTTCAAATGTAGTCTATTTATTTAAATATAAATGTAAAACAAATACAGTGGTAAAGTATTCGATAGTAAACTATATACACTTGTACAGAAAAATTTAGACTGAGTAGAGTCCAGTGGTCCAGCAGAAGCAGAAGTTGTTGTCTCCTACAGATGATTGATTGATTGATTTAATTTAATGACCACACAGCCAGGCTGGTGGAATTTGTTTCCAGTACAGCTTTTTGATACAGGTTCCAACATTTAGACAATAGATATTTATACATTAACATATAAAGTAACATACATGTACACTACCGTTCAAAAGTTTGGGGTCACCCAAACAATTTTGTGTTTTCCTGAAAAGTCACACTTATTCACCACCATACGTTGTGAAATGAATAGAAAATGGAGTCCAGACATTGACAAGGTTAGAAATAATGATTTGTATTTGAAATAAGATCTTTTTACATCAAACTTTGCTTTCGTCAAAGAATCCTCCATTTGCAGCAATTACAGCATTGCAGACCTTTGGCATTCTAGCTGTTAATTTGTTGAGGTAATCTGGAGAAATTGCACCCCACGCTTCCAGAAGCAGCTCCCACAAGTTGGATTGGTTGGATGGCACTTCTTGCGTACCATACGGTCAAGCTGCTCCCACAACAGCTCAATGGGGTTCAGATCTGGTGACTGCGCTGGCCACTCCATTACCGATAGAATACCAGCTGCCTGCTTCTGCTCTAAATAGTTCTTGCACAATTTGGAGGAGTGTTTAGGGTCATTGTCCTGTTGTAGGATGAAATTGGCTCCAATCAAGCGCTGTCCACTGGGTATGGCATGGCGTTGCAAAATGGAGTGATAGCCTTCCTTATTCAGAATCCCTTTTACCCTGTACAAATCTCCCACCTTACCAGCACCAAAGCAACCCCAGACCATCATATTACCTCCACCATGCTTAACAGATGGCGTCAGGCATTCTTCCAGCATCTTTTCATTTGTTCTGCGTCTCACAAACGTTCTTCTTTGTGATCCAAACACCTCAAACTTGGATTCATCCGTCCACAACACTTTTTTCCAGTCTTCCTCTGTCCAATGTCTGTGTTCTTTTGCCCATCTTAATCTTTTTCTTTTATTGGCCAGTCTCAGATATGGCTTTTTCTTTGCCACTCTGCCCTGAAGCCCAGAATCCCGCAGCCGCCTCTTCACTGTAGATGTTGACACTGGTGTTTTGCGGGTACTATTTAATGAAGATGCCAGTTGGGGACCTGTGAGGTGTCTGTTTCTCAAACTAGAGACTCTAATGTACTTATCTTCTTGCTCAGTTGTGCAACACGGCCTCCCACTTCTTTTTCTACTCTGGTTAGAGCCTGTTTGTGCTGTCCTCTGAAGGGAGTAGTACACACCGTTGTAGGAAATCTTCAATTTCTTAGCAATGTCTCGCATGGAATAGCCTTCATTTCTAAGAACAAGAATAGACTGTCGAGTTTCAGATGAAAGTTCTGTTTTTCTGGCCATTTTGAGCGTTTAATTGACCCCACAAATGTGATGCTCCAGAAACTCAATCTGCTCAAAGGAAGGTCAGTTTTGTAGCTTCTGTAACGACCTAAACTGTTTTCAGATGTGTGAACATGATTGCACAAGGGTTTTCTAATCATCAATTAGCCTTCTGAGCCAATGAGCAAACACATTGTACCATTAGAACACTGGATTGATAGTTGCTGGAAATGGACCTCTATACACCTATGTAGATATTGCACCAAAAACCAGACATTTGCAGCTAGAATAGTCATTTACCACATTAGCAATGTATAGAGTGTATTTCTTCAAAGTTAAGACTAGTTTAAAGTTATCTTCATTGAAAAGTACAGTGCTTTTCCTTCAAAAATAAGGACATTTCAATGTGACCCCAAACTTTTGAACGGTAGTGTACATACAGACACCACATTACTATATATAATACATAATACATGAGGGGTCATGCTTAATCCACTGTCCTCAGCATTCAGAGATCAGAGTTCAGAATGTGTATCGCTTTTGGAATGACCCTGGGTACTGCAATGGATATTCTTACAACTCATGAGAGGCAATGTTGCTACCGCCACCTGCTGGTGTCGCTAATAAACTACTCTCACATTTACAGATCTCTGTTTACAGATGTCTGTGGTACAGAGTGGACAAAATTCCACAAATGCGTAAAAAGGAAGTCACAAATGTAACGTGACATGCAGATTGACAGAAAGCAATCTGCAAATGTGCAAAAACTGTTTTGTTTGTAGAAGTCACTCTGTATTTTTGTGGATATGATTTTACACATCACAAATGTAAAAATACATATTTGTAGATAGCGAAATATTTGCGCATCATAGTACACATTTGTGGATTGTTTTCTGTGGGTTACAAATATTAAAGTCCAATAAAATCTTCCATAGTCAGCTTCAGATTCTTGATGCCCACATGGTGTTTCACCTCACTGTGCATTTTTTCTGTGCTGTGTCCGCTGTTTTCGTAGCGTCCTCACACCCGACACTGCCCACAGGCTGATGCTCCAAAGAAATAAATAAAGAAATACAGGCAGATGGCCGGACACTGCCACACACTTCATATAAGTCATAAGTGATCACTGGGAGGGATTATTATTGTATGAGTCCATACATTGTTTTTTTTAGAAAAATCCTACTCATTCTGCCTTTAAGTTAACTGTTCCAAGCAACTGCTTTCACTGTTTCTGTGGCAGCTGAAAATTATGTTGGTGGGACAGTCTACATCAGTCTTACAGACTGGTTGGTGCAAAACAAAGATAAGGTCCTTCTCCTCCCAACAAGAAATCTGCTAACCTGAACACAATGTCTGAGGCTGAGTGAATGCAGTGAAAAGAAATTGCAATTGATAATCAGGCTACTTTATGGTAAATGTTAATTTAAACAACAAAACTCTGGACACGCTCTAACATCACTTCATTCATATTATCTCCTTACGTAAGCAGACCCAGCCACCATCACCAAATACTGAACCAGAAACCTAAGAACCTAAGATCAGACCTAAGAACATGCTGCCTGAACTTGCTCAAGCTCCCATTTCTAAGACAGAAATATCTTGCAGTTATCAACAGTTGTCTCCAACCATTATTTCACACTCTACTTCCTCCTCTCCAGGGAGTCCCAGAGGACTTGCTTTTCTTCTACCAGAGTATTCGTCAAGGAGGGGGCGTGGCCAGAGTCGACCAGTGCCTGCTGGTGTACCGTTACCACGAGAAGGCCGCCACACACTCTGTTACCGAGTCAGTCTCGCCATACACCCCTCCCCCTGCTCAGCTACACTTAAACACACGCACACTTGGACGCAGTGTTCATCCTCCACCTACTCACAGCTGCCCTCTGGCATCCCACATTTTCTCAGGACTTGATACCCCCACACACACATACATGCACACACACACATGCAGATGTTGTTGTTTTTTGTAATTGAGTTTTTCAGAAAATGTTTTTGGTATTCCAGACACTTTCCCAGCATATGAATCAGGAATTTCAACCCTGTCTCTGTGGAATGTTATCTCTCAGACCCTGTCGAGAGGCAATCGAATCTTGTTTGCGATGGTGTGTGTGTGTGTGTGTGTGTGTGTGTGTGTGTGTGTGTGTGTGTGTGTGTGTGTGAGAGTGACACTCCTGCTGTTGCCTACGCTTCAACAAGGTCATGTAGTGTCTGCAGGTGTTTGTGTGCCTCAAAATGTAAAACACACCAAAGGAGAAGGTCATTCCTGCCTTCGTTCCCTCACTTTCATCCACCCTTTCCTGCATCCATCCCTCTTTCCTTTCCTCCCTCCTTCCTTCCTTCCTTCCTTCTTTCCTCCCATGCGCCTTGTCCACTGCTCGTATATCTGCCCGTGTTGACGCACTCCTTCACCGATCATCCTCCTCTCTGTCTTCATCTATCATCTGGCTATTTTTGGATGCCTATTTCAAGCTTGCCTTGCCTACTTTCCACTCTCCCCCACTTCTCGTCACCCCTTCCCATCCTCAGCCTACCTACTTCCTCTCTTCAGTCAAATGAAACCATCATCCACTCTCTGTCTGTCACACACACAAACACATGAAATTTTAGAGGCTATGTCAGTGGGGTGAGAAGTGTCTTTTGAAAAGAGTGGTGCCAAAGAGTAACTGAGATGAAAAGCTTCCTAACAAGGTTTTGTTTAAAAATGTGTGTATGTGAATCTATACCAGAGTGTATGAAAGTGTGTTTGTCTTTTGATCTGCAGGGTATTGGTAGGGTAAAGGCTTCAGTATGTGTATACAAATCAGTAAATCTCTGCCATGTCTTAGAATCAAGCCCTGTATAGAGAATTTCCAGAAAAGCAATCGGTAGACCACCCGTAATTCACAGTGGGAGTTGGTTTGTTTGTGATATGAGGCCCACTGTCAGACCCAGTAAGGCACACACATCAGGAGATGAGAGTGGAGCACCTCCTGTGAATTTGTCCATATAATTACTAAGTGTGTGTGTGTGTGTGTGTGTGTGTGTGTGTGTGTGTGTGTGTGTGTGTGTGTGTGTGTGTGAGAGAGAAAGGGAGAGTGAGGGGGGAAGGGGTTAAGAGCATGAGTAGAGCGTGAAGACATATATCTGAGAGTAAAGGTGTGTGTAAGGCCTGTGCACAGCTGTGCATATCAGTCAAGGTGCAAGCAACAGGAAAACAAGCTCATTTAACAGTTTTCTCCCCCTCCACTTGAACAATCTGACTAGTTTATCACAATTCAGTTATGCTTTTGATCATTTAAAGAGTTGATTTGTTGTTTGGGTCTTATAGTTTTATCTTTCATTTCTGTCAGTTGTGATAACATTGTACTCAAATCAAAGTCATTGCTGACATCTGGAAACTTGGCGGGTTTGCAGAAACAAATTCTGACGAGTAAAAAAACATCCATCAAAACAAACCATCAATTTAGCCAAATGATCTAAACCATTTCATTTGGAGGTCAGACTGAATGGGAGTGCACCTGAAATGATCAGTAATGAGAATTTATTGCACAAGAAAGCTGTGCCCACAACTACAGCAAGTATACAAAGTTAAACCACAAAGGTGGCATGTAAGCTGATGAGCTGATGTTTATATTGGACAGTCTGGGTCATTCTAACTTTTGGCTTAATTTTCTCTTCCAAATATGTTTGTCTAACTTGGGTGTTTATTAAAAACTTATCTGATCATCTACCAATGGTCATGTTCCCAGATCTCAGCTAATACAATCTTATTGCTGAGAGAAATGATGACGAGAACTTGACCCAAAATGTAATAAACTGCATCATCCTTTAAAGAATGTGTTAGATGAGCAGAGACTCCAGGTAGAATAAATAGTTTTCACCATAATTTCATCCATAAGTAACACAATGACAGAACGTATGACTGAATAAATATACGTGTACCTAATGCTTTGTCCTGTCAGTATGTATATATACAGAGTGGCAAGAAAGTGAATTAGTGTTTCTCAAAATGTTAAAATCTTTTTTCTTTTTAAAGTGCAGCCCTTTTCTTAAATATCCCCATACAGTATGTGTCTATGTGATTAGTTTAAGACCCCGTTTACACCAGAGGCAACTCAGAAAGCAAAATAGGATCTGGCTATGAGTGCATGTTTTTACAGCATATACAGTATATCTGTCATCAAACCTTAGGAGCGCCCCTTTTTCATACCAGATGAAACATGAGCAGTCTGGCCTACAGACAGCATTTCTTAGTTTTAGCTTTTACTTGCTTCTCTGTCCATCCTCTGATCCTCTGCTTGTCTCCAGGGAAACTATGTGGAAACTGCGAGTTGACTTCCTGCAGGAGAGAGTTCTCAGCCAATGGGAGAGCTTCACCATATGGAACGCTGGGAAACAGGGCCGGAAGTTGTACCGATGTCTCAGCCCGACCAATCAGAAGAAGGTATGTTACCTCTAGCTAGGCAGTCAGATGTGAGACACTAGCCAAATTAGTGGAAAGAACTGGTGGGAAAAGAGAGCTTTCATCGCCATTCTGATTCCTCTGTCAGGTGAAGGCTTTCTGTGATGTTGATGAGAACAAGATCCAGAAAGGCTTTTACACATACGAGGAATCCAAGGTAAGATCAACCACTAACGTTTATTATGAGTCAGTGTTAGCATGGCCAAAGATATGAGCTTTAAAGCTGTGATTCATATGAATGGTCACCCAACCACTTGTTAGGAAGCAAACTGGGTTCTTATGAAGCTGTGGCCAACAATGATATGTGGTTTTTGTGTCTCGCTTTTGTTGATACCCTTCCAGCAAAGACCCAAGCCAAAAATCCCAGTTCTACACTACAAAGACGCCTCCGCCCCCTTCATTATCTGTGTCAAACTGGTGAGCATACAGCATGTTTGTGTGTTGTATGTTTGCTGTTTCTGACCGTCTGTCCCTCAGGTCTGTAATCTAAGTTAACGACATAATGATCAAGGGCGTGTGCCCGGCACAGGACATAACACATACACACACACGGCAGTCAGGAAATGGGTAGAAACAGCAGCCTGATTTTTGATCATATGATACTTGTACAAACATCTAATGTTTTTTGCCACTGTTTTATGTATTTTGTACTCCAAAATTCTGGCAATACTCGTAGCTATGGCTTTTTTTTGCTAAGATAATGAAATTATCTTTTTATTCATTTTGTATTAATATACAATACCACACATACAGCTGTTGTGGCAGCCAAATCACTAAATGCCTTTTTACCTCCTAGCTAGACTCAGACATCATATCCAGAGTGACCCCACCTATGGGGGCTACTAATTGCTCAATTATGGAAATTGGGAGAAGTAATCATAGTCAGAGGACAAAGAGACCTGCATTCAATCATTCTCTCTCTTTCTCATTCCCTGTGACACACACACAGACACACACACATAAACACCTGGACTCAATCACACACATTTTATACCCAGATGTGAAATAACTATAATTAACAAATACATAATTAATTTGAACTTTGTGCATTGCATTGTGAGTCTAACCTTTGACTTAAGTTCAGTATAGTTAAGACAAAGGATTCTACATTAAAAAGCAAAGAAGCAATTGAAAAATAAAAAATGAATTTTGTTCCTGTTGTTTCTCTCCTGTTTTTCATCTGTAGGACATGACAGGAGGCGTTCTGGAGGAAAATCTCAACTCTTTGCAGCTGAAGGAAGGAATAGATTACTACCATTTCAACTGATTGCTCGGGTGATGTAGAGAAGACAAGAGGTGTCCTGCTGCTTTAACGGGCTCAGAGGAATGTAGAAGACTGGATTACTCGCACACATAAACGCGAACTGAGCGATAGGCAGAGTCAGTGACAATACAAAGACAAAGAAAAGAGAAGGTTATAATGTGTTTTAAGTGTTAAAAGACGCTTTTTATGTGTGGGAAAGAATGTGGAAATGTTCAAGTTCTCAAAGTTTTACTTGGCAAAGTTTACAGAAAGGCTGATAAATTTACAGCAGCACATCCCAGCCATGACTGCTCAGCCTCTCACCTGAACCTCAGCACGTGGATAGTTTCTGCTGATGAGAAGACTGATACCTCTCTCATATCTGTCCAGTAAATACAAGGCTACAGTCAGGAGACGCTTAGCTTCGTTTAGCACAAAGACTGGAAACAGGGAAACATCTAGTCTGCCTTTGTCCAAAGGTAAAAAACTGCCTAACACAACCTCTGAAGCTCACTAATTAACATGTTGCATCATGTTTTTTTAATGCATACAAAAAACTAAATGTAAAAAATGTCAAATTTTTTTGGGCTTTATATGTCTATGCTCTTATATGACTAATTTTTGGTTGGGCTTAAGAGGTGCTTGTAGCTTCATATTTAACTGACAATGGCGTTGTCTAATGATAAGCAAGAAAGTGAATATGCATATTTCCCAAAATGTCCAACTGTTCTTTTTAAAAGCTTGAACATGGGTGTTTAGGGTAATAGAAGTAACCATAACGTGACCTAGAGTTAAAAGTTGTGGCACAAAAGAAAAAGTGGAGAGATGTTTTGGTAATTGAATTACAAAGAAATTAAATTATTTTACTATTTGGAAACTTCTATTTATCACGCGAGAAGACATGACCATTGCCACTGTTGACCAACTGAAGAATAAAATGTCATGTTTTCTAATCCTGTGTGAACGGAGACTGGTGTTTGCCAACCTGTATTCTTGAACTAGTGCTGAAGTTTAAGGAAGTTATCTGAGTCAGCGTCTCATCAGCTTGTAAAAGGGTGGGATGTTTCACGACCGGGATGTGTTTCACAGATTTCTCAATAGACTTCTCTGATGCAACCACACAAAATCAGATGCACGCACACATCTGCTACAAATGTACAAGCATGGACACTGCACATATTTGTTTTTCTTTCCGTGGGTCTCTTACAAAATCTAAAGAACAATAACCTCTTTAAGAGAGCACAGTTCTGATACACAAACATACACAAAAAGTTTATTTTACCTCACAGAGTGTGGAGTTTTTCTGCCCAAAGGTAAACAGACCTTTCCCCACAAAATCTCCCCCGGTGTTTCCTGGGTCAGCGAGGTGGTCTGCCTTACTGTAAATCTGGCCGCAGCAGTTTGTAGGGAAGCAGCAGTAGCGGTAAAAAAAAATAAATAAAATATACTAGAGGGAGTCTTCTACTCTGCCAAAGTTTTATTTTCACTACCTTTGTTTATTATCATAGACTGCAGTTGCTCAGTGGCGTCAATGTACAGAATCACTGTACCATGTCTGAAGTTGGGCTTGAATCCATTGTGTTTGATAAATTGCAGGACTGTGTGGGCTTGATTCAGCCTGGTATTTGAGGTGAAAACACCAGGCGTCTGCCACCCACAGTATAGTGCTCTGTAGGGGCTGAGAAAAATGTCACATCCACTTAGCACTCAGTCCCCACCTGGACCCCTCCCTCTCTGTATTTCTACACACAAACACTTAAACAAGAAGGTGTCTTCCTCAAAGAGTCTTTGCAGTAGCAGCTGCAACTACTGATTATTTTCATTATTGATTAACCAGATGATTCGTTTGTAGTTTTTAGTAATTGATTAATAGTTTTGTCTATAAAAATGCAGACAATGAAATGCCCATTACATTTTCCTAATACCCAAGGGGACACAGCTTCTGTTGTCTTACCAACAGCCTAAAACCCAAACATATTCAATTTACTGTCACATAAGACCTGACAGTTCTGTTCAATGACTAATCAATTAATTGACTAATTGTTTGTCCCACTTTACATTTTTTGGACACACATCTGTATGAAACTGTTTTGGGGTTGTTTGTTTTTTGTTATCCACACAGCTAGCAATGGCAGTAACATGGTGTTGCAATGTCAGCTGATCTGTCCACCACTTAATATAATAAGAAATATCTCAACAACTGTTGGATGGATTGCTATTAAATATGGTCCCTAGAGGACAAATGTTAGAATGCTGATAAACATCAGCCTGTTAGCTTAGTCATTGTTAGCATGCTGACATTAGCTTTTAGCTCAAAGCTGTACATATTTTGGGGGCTTTTTAGTCCCTCATGACATTTTGCTTTTTCGCACACTGAATACATTTATCACTTCTGCTCACCATGCCTGTTGCTAAATATTTGAGTGAAACCGCAGGCTTGACTGATCTTTGCAGCCACTCATATTGAAAGTGTATGAAGTCGTTGAGCTATAAGGTGCTTTGGATACACGTCCACCAAATAGAGACCATATATTTTAGAATGTAACAAACCAAAGCACTTTGTTTGAGAAAGACCACGGCCTGTCTAAATACATCCTGTCTCCTATACCCGCTCTGCCCTCATGATAAAGCACTTGGTAGATGATCAGAGCTAGCTCTAATGGAGAATCTATGAAAGAGACTCAGAAAGAGAGTAAACAGAGCTTTATTCTGTGTTTACAATCTGTCTCTCTGCAGACATCAGCCCTGATAACACACACACAATGAATTACCCTGACCCTGGAGCATGCTTGCCTTCACCGGCCAAATAAACCTGCACGTGTGCAGAAAGAAATGCACTTACACAGCTGCATGTTCTCTGGCAGTGCAGCTGATAAGAGAAAGAGATAAACGTCGGGTGTGTTTGGGTGAAGAGAGTGGATAGAGGTCAGACATTGAAGGCTTTTTCATTCACCTGGAACTTTACCACATTCTTTCAGCATCTCTCTCTCTTTTTTTCTGTCTCTCGATTTAAGACATTTTGTAAGATATGGCCAGAAATTTAGTTTAAAACATTCAAAAAATGAACACAACATTATCAACAGAATGCGAAGAAGCAACAGTTTCAACATTATATAAAAGACGACTCTGTATTGTGTTGCAGAGATGTCTAAAGAAGCTAGCATGCTAACCAGGTAGCCCTGGGCCATCCTATCCTGTCTGGTAATACTACTTTGTACTTAAAGTGGCGATAGCCTGATAGTAGTCTTCCCTCGTAATTTCACCTGGGAGGTGTGTTACACAAGTACTCTCACTGACAAGGACTATCACTGGTTCACATGACTGAGCTATGCTGCCCTACAAAGTCAAAGCACATTCACTGCATATTTTGTCTTGGCATCTGTTTTACCATCTAAAGTTTTTTTTACCATAGAAGTTGATAGTTTCTGAAAAATTGTCACTGAGAGAAAAACAACTTGACAACTAATGCAGAAAAGCTAATGCTATATCAAGTGAAGGCTAGATAATGAAACAGCCACAGTGTTTGCTTGTTGTGATTTGTAATTAAAAAACAAAATTTATGAACCACCATCTTGGTAATTCAGTCACTTATCTACACAAAAAGGAAACTCGGAGCAGTCCTCTGCCGAGGCTTAGTCCAGTCTTCTTTGATATTTTCAAAACTTAAAATTATAGTAGGCCTTGCCTTGTTGAAGCCTCATCATCTCAGCTGTGCATTTATTATGTGTATTAAGTACAAGTCGAAATATACGTAATTCTGGATTAATCTGGAATCACACATCCCTGATTGCTTATTTACTACATACCTGCTGCAGTTGTTTCTACAGTGATGTTGGAAGTGGCTATTTTATGATTAGTCTCAGTACACCAATCACCTGAATCCCACAGGTATACTCATGGTAATGAATTCAGTTAATTTTGCCATATTGTGACACCAGTGTTACAATTTACATATCTGCAATTTTAACAAAAGTAAAAAAATAATAATAATTTGTGTATCCTCCTCGTGAAATGGATCTGTTCCAAAACTTTGTGGGTTCTTCCTTGGCCCATGCTACACCCTTCCATGAAGAATTATGAAAATCAGACAGGTTCTTTTTCCTTAGGCAAATCAGTCAAACAAACAAACAGCACAGAAAACATAACCTCCTTAGTGGAGGTAATAAAGCAGAAGCTATCTCAAATCACAACGCCTATCCTAAAGGTAACTAGCTCAGCAAAGTAGCATCTCTGCTTTAGTCAAGGCAAGGCACTCGAGCTGTACAGCTGGCTTTCGTGAGTAAATAAAGGTTTTTCAAAAAAGAGAGAGGAGTGGGCAGTGCGAGAGTAGTGAGGAAATAAAGGTCAAGAAGAATGAAATCAGAGATAGAGGAATGTGTGTGTGGCTCCTTGAGGAAGCAGTGTGTGGACAGACGGAGCGTTCCCCCTGTCAGGCCGTTTGAGAAGAGCCAGGTGACGGCAGGGGGGCTAAGGGGAGCAGGTCAGAGGCTCTGCTGCTCTGTAAATACTTCACATGGTGAAGGAGCATGTCGGGTCAAACGGCACATTGGCAGCCCAGACTTCCTCTGCTGTGGTGACAGGATTAGACCCGGGTCAGACGCCCTCTGCAGCCTCCAGCTCTCTGACTTCAGTTGTGTTTATGGAAAAATTGCATATTTTTTCATATCCAGGGACGGAGGTGAAATGTGTTGGTGGTACAGATGTGTTGCGCTTTGAGCAGAGAGACAGAGAGGAAGAAGTGTAGAAAATCACCCTACCTGACAGGTCTTCAGTAGGGGCATTGTCAGCACCCTGAGGTTGGGCTAATTAAAGTAATCCTACAGTCCAAATCCATTTTTTGAGCACTCATAGGGCCTTGATGTCATAGGTTTTGTTTGGTAGCAGAATAATGTACCCTGGGTGCATTATGTCAGTTAAGTGTTTATAGATTTCGACGACCCCCCTTTATTTTTATTTTGTTGGTTGGCATCCTTTGCAGCCCACCTCCAGGAGTTAGGCGGTCATATTGTCCAATTTCTCAACCTGGTAACCCAAATGTTGTCCTCATCAATGACCAATAGCTGATCTGTAAAGCATTAGCAAATTATGTATAATTCCATGAATAAAACCATTAGTGACAACCCCTTATAAAAGGCGGCTTATAAGAATGTGTGTGTGTGTGTGTGTGCGTGCGCGCGCGCGCGCGTTCTGCTAAGTGTAGTTGTTGAAGTAATTTTTGTTTGTAGCACAACATCATCAATAACATCAAAAAAAGTGCTAGTGAAAAATGTGTAGGCTATCATTTGACTTCTATTATAAAATGTAATTTAAGTTAAATTATGTGAATGTCTCCATTTATTGGTCGGCTGTGCCAACATGGAGGAAACTCCACCTAATGGATAGCAGGGGGGGGGGGGGGGGCGTGTGTGGGTGTTTGTGTGGGAGGGGAGGGGGAGTGGGGGGTGTAACGGAGTCTGTGTTTCGGTATTTCTCGAAATGCGTAACATAGCTCTGACTGTGTGGGGGAATGTGACGACTCGGTTAACATGCTTGCTGTTCCGACTGTTTTCTCACGGGAAAACCGCCCCAGAACCAAACAGGCGTTTAGAGCACATGTGTGACTCTGTGTTATGTCAGGGCCTTTCTTTTTCCAAGGAGGTCGTCTATTCAGATATGAAATGCTACATTAATATTAGTTACACCAATAAAATAGGATACAAAAGATAAATTCACACTGAGGAGTAGGCTTATGTCAGGTGACGTTGCAACTGAATAGCCTAATCATAAAATAGGCTGCCTTTACAGTGTGTAAAGAGTCTGGCACTTCCTGCAGAAGTGTTGACGAGAGTTTGAGGGAGTTAGAAGTCAGAGGATGCTGCTGTTCCAAACCTGCGTGCTGCTCTCATTTTCACTGCGATAATATGATCCATGTGTTTATAAAGCCAGCCCGCACACAACTCACTCACACAGGCTT